ACGAAAGCTTTAAGTCAAGACACATACACATCCATTTATTAGGCACTCGTTGATATTGGCAGCATAGTATCTTGAGATATTTATAAACAATATTTTGTTTGCGTTCCCTCTCTGGTTTCACGAGTTATCTTTTTAATTATGTTCCCGCTCATGATGTCCTCATGTCAATGTTTGGTGTTATTTGCCTGTTTGCCTCGCAATTATTTACTTTTCATGAAAGTATATCTTTTTTTTTACAATAAAAATAGATTAAAACATCGATTTATCATCAGATATTTTATATGGAGTCTGAAGAGATTGTCTGGAAGTAAAAAGAAACTAATTTGGTAAATTTTGATTTAAAGCTTTCGTGACTGCAGGGATTCATATTCTTGGTTCTTTTGGTAAAGTCACGTAGAAGGGAATTTTATTGTTTTGTATTTTTATTGTTTTATTGTTTCCCGTCTACGTGACTTTACCGAAAGAACCAAGAATATAATTTGATAAAGGTAAGAAAAGAAGACAACAGTGGTTCGGACATGTTGCAGGAATGAGCTCGGATAGGATCCCGTACTTTGTGATGCTTATCCAAGTGGAAGAAATAGGAGCAGTGGAAGACAAAGAGCCAGATGGAGAGACGGAAGAACAAAAGAGCTAGAGAAGGAAGAGAGAGAGAGAATGAAGCAGTAACACCCACTTGGGAGAAATAAATGAATGCAATTTATTTGGCCCTATTGTTGTAGAGCAGATGCAACGTACATACAGGGCATCTGGCCTTCAAAACGCTGTAAACTCACCGCAGTGCATACCCAAGCCACTGGAGCAATGCACTTTTAAATGTAGATTGGAAACTAATTTCTTTAGAACAGTTTGTGTTTAGTGTGTTGTCCTTCACCTGCACCTCCGATTATTAGCACGGTTGGCTACATACGGTGCAAAACAAGTGCAACATACACGTATACATACGTAACGCGGTGACTACAATGATGACATCGACAACCCCTGCCCACCAGGATCTCAGGTCCTGGGTCTCAGGTGCAGTGCCAGTAAAGCACAAGTTTTAATTCTTGGATGCGTGCATTTGTATTTTTGGAAATAATATGCGAATTTTATGTTTTTTAAATCTGATTAATCAAATGAATTATAGTGACACGAATCGATTATTTCAATAGTTGAAATCTGCAGCTTTAGTGCTGATGATGCGGTATGCCTCCAAGCCTGTAACCCAGTCATATAAACAATGATGCAGCAGCATAATCATTTATTATTTATACCATGCCTCCCACGTATTATACTAGAGTTGCAACTATCGACCATTGATAGAATCCATTAATAGATCCACAAACCCTTGCAGGCAGGCTGAATGGATCAAGGGAAGATGTTGTCTGCATGAGTCATTTCCTGCAGACCAATTAGGTGCTACCTGTGTAAGGCAGTTCAGCATGTACGTTTCTCACGGGATATCTGCGCGAACATTGTGTGTTATCTTACTGCTCGTGTGACTTTTCACCTGATACATGCAGTTTTCTTCCCACACGCAAAATTAATTGAAAAAGTACTTGGTAGAAACACACCAATCTTGATTTGAAGCTTTCGTGACTGCAGGAATCCATACTCTTTGTTTCTTTCAGTAAAGTCACGTAGGTCGAAAAATTAAATTAAATTAAAAATAATATATCACGACGTTTCGATCGCAACACAAGCGGTCGTCCTCAGGCGGGAAAAATAATCCAGCAGTGGAACTGGCTATCCGAACTGGCTAACTGCTGAACCAGCAGTTCCACTGCTGGATTACCACATCCACTCACAATTAATATAACTATTTTTTCAGTCCTGCGTCAATCCACTGCTAGATGAAGGTCTTCCCACACCGTATCAATCATGGGGATTGTATGACCATACTTCACCACCATGGTCAGTATGGGTTGGTGCTAGAGGGGAATCGAACCAGTTAAGATGTGACGTATTACCATATATATAAAAGCAAAGGTGGTCTCAGAAACAGAACATTATCAAGCTCTCGTATTATTCCACTATCTCTTATATGTCCTTTGGCAAAGAACGGTTTTAATTCATAACTGTATTATGAGTTTGGAAAGTATTTATGGAGGAGGTAATCATGCTTGCCTTGTGTAGTCCTAACGCACAGTTAGGCACAGTCCATTGTCTTCAAGGTAAGGAGAAACCCGGAAGGTTCTGCGTTGGATCTTCAATACTTGTGTTGTTATGGATATCGCAGGCTGACCACTTAGCTTTCCATCAGCTAGTGATGTTTTTTTTTCCGGCAGACACAAGTATTGATACATGTACCCAGAATGGTTTCTTGCACTCTAAGTGTATGGGTCAGAGAAAGCTGCTAAAAACCGTCCGGCACGGCGTGGGCTTTTTGCGGCCTTATGCTCCACAGGGAGCGAAGAGGAGTAAGTAAGTAGGCGTATGGGTCGTGACGATTTGATTTCTCCATTAATGAGTAATTAAGAATATCCACATTGAACAATTCATATGTTGAGAAATGTAGCTACACGTTTTTTTGTGTGCAGCATTCAGAGTGGCACGGTTTGTGCTTCAGCAGCAACATGAGTGCAACCCACTCATCAGAGCCAAACCCTTGGCCCAGTGCTTCATGCCCCTACGAGGTCACATGGAGGAAACACCGTACCCCTGGCTGGCTTTAGATCAATCAGTCGTGTTCTGGTGCCTTCTATTATCTGTAGAGATACTGCACATGTTGTCCCCGCCAGTACAGTGGCTTTCTCCCAAGTACCCCGTGTCTCTCCCAAAAGCCACTGAGGGCTATGATCATGAAGCGTCTGTCTTTGGAAGGAGCTGCTGGATTTCTCTACCTAGTCTGATTTGAAATTGATGCGATTAGTCTCCTCAGAATCCCCGCTCAGAGATGGAAAAATCCAAATGCTTTTTAGTGTTAGCCATTTTCTGAATAAAGTGCAGAGCTGGATTATGCGATTGCTTAAGTAATTGATTACTCTTTACAATTATTGCTTTGACTGATCGAAAAACAAGAAATTTGTTGGGGGGAAAAAGTATTACTTTTGTTCCCACTTGTGTCGCTGTACAGGAAGTAATTGGTGGGACTTTACCACGTCATCGACATCAGCTTGCAGGGGGTTTCCTGCCTTCAGGAGGCAGGATCTGGGGGCCACCACCATTTTTTAAATTAAAGTTATACTTTGGTGTATGGATATTTACCAGCTTTTACCTTACGATGATGTGATGCGTAGATAAACATACTCCCTGTTTTCAGGGATTTTAATATAGGTGGATTTTCTTTTATAATTGACTAAACAGTTTAACTATATATATGATCGTGCAGCCCGGTGGGACTGTGGTTCAAGGACTATACTGCTCTCCTATGCTTTGTACTGTTTTACTCCATGTGCTGATAGCTGCTCTAAGAACTATTCAGCTCAATTAACTTGACAGAGCAGAACAATAGGCTATTGTGTGAATGCATTCAATAACCAAGACAGAAATGTCACACTTAATTAAAAGTGCAATTAATTTTAATTAATTAAGAGTCAAGGAATTTTTCAGCTTCTGAAGAAACTGCCAGCACATGCAGTGAAATGTCACACATGGTGCCTAAAAGCACACCGTACAACCTTACGAAAGAAAAACAACCTCAAGCACCTAAGCAGATGTGAGTTCCAGGCTTAGCTGGCAGTCGATTCAGCCCAGTATCCATCCGGTGTTGACAACATAGACATCACTCTGTGGGATATCAGCAATGCTCTTTATAAACAGAGACAATTAAAATGTATAATGTCCTATCACTGACCCAGAGCTGTAAGCTGATAACACTGCCCCATTGTTCATTTGAGCAGAGGGGGAACTCTGACTTTTAATTACATTTAATATATATGCATTTGTTATTTGTGTGCATTAACACCACAACCTTGTGCTCAGGTTTATTAAGTTAAATAAGTCCTATCCTGCGAAGTAAAGAAAAAACATCAATAGACCAAAAATGCCCTACGGCGTGTTTTCTGCTCAAATTTTCTCCGACTTTTGAGTCACAGAGAGCTGAGCTCTATGCGCCAAGTTTGTTAACAAGAGTTGGGTTGAGAATTAGGTTTCGAGGGCCTGTAATCACGCAACGTGGCGATGAAGAATGTTTTCATGGCTCTGGGTGGACAGTGCACACGCGCAAACATATCTTTGAAAAGCTTTATGGTCAGCAGCCAGCTTAGGAGCACTGACCACCACATTCATCATCACTGCTGAGAACGCCGGTAGAAGTGCCAAGCGCAGCAGAACATGTGTCAGAGCGACAGTGGAGGGGTGCACAAGTGTTTTTGGCAGTATGGTTGATGTAGGTTGGTTGGTGCGAACTTGGCCGGAGCCTCCGGCAGTCTGGCCTTGTTTGGGGTGTGACCAGAATTTACTGTGTTCACTTGTGTGGCACAAGGTAGTTGAGTTCAACTTCACCTGTCCATCCCTTTGGAATCAAAGTCAACAGTGGCCATACCGTGGATGGGCCAGCCCCTACAATGAAAATGTGGAATGTCCAGTATTGTATTCTTTGAGTCTTTCGGTAAAGTCACGTAGATAGGTTCAAAGAAGATGACAAAAAACTACGACGTTTCGATCGCAACACAAGCGTTCATTATCAGGAAGAATAAAGAGGGGGACAGCTGCTGAGGAAGACTGTTTTAAAGGTCTAAAATGGGTGTAGCCCAATGGTCATAAACGAAGTGGGCAGGGCTAGTGATGTTAATGTGAGAAATTAGCATGTTAATGTAAGATCGGAGGGCGACGTCCACGACGAGGGCGCGGAGGTGGCTATGCTAATGTCAGATCAGAGAGTAGCCTCCACGAAAGGAGACCAGATGGCTCAATGGGACAATGTCTATAGGAAAGCCACCCATACGGATGCACATGCCTGCCGAGTCTGCCACTGTTATTGTTGTTAGGGTTGTTTTGGTGCTGACCCTATTGTGAAGCTGTATTCTTACGTCTTTCTCTTCCCACCATCCCCTCACCCATGTGTGCTGTGCTTGCAGGGAGGTCATATTAAGCGAAGGTCCGTGCAAGTATCCATAGTGCAACCCCCATCACCATTCTGTTAATTCGGTGTTTTTTATAAGTTGCCCCTCCCTCCCCAGCACGCTGCTCTTTGCATCGATTTTTCACTCCAGTTTTTTGCTATCAGCAACGGCGCCACCAATCTCCACTCCCAAGTGCCGCCGCATTCTCTCGCATGTCCCATAGTGTTCTCAAACGCGTGATTTTCCCACTCTCTCTCCTAATCGTGGCCACACAGTCCACAACCCCTCCCGAGCTCACCAGAACATTGCCATAGGCGCTCACACCCTCCTGTGCTCTTCAGAAAACTGTCACACGTGCCTAAACTCCGCCGAGCCGTCCGTGTGCTCCCCGTGCCGCCCTGCTCGCTCGTCCACCTCCCCTCTCCCCCACCCGTACCACCATGGGCTTTGTGGCGTGGCTCAAGACGCAGTTCATCTGCCAGCTGCTGCTGGGCTACGTGTTCCTCATCAGTGGCTTCATCATCAACTTCGTGCAGCTGCTCACGCTCGTGCTGTGGCCCATAGACCGGCAGCTCTACCGCCGCGTCAACTGCCGCCTCGCCTACAGCCTGTGGAGCCGTGGGTTGCACATCCTGGCGCATTAATGCCGCACGGCCAGGAAACCACACAACTACTGGCAGTGCCGCTACTGCCACAGCTACCACGACCCCCACCACCGCCACCACCACTGCCACAGCCACCGCCACCACCTTCACTGTCATCGCCACCACCACCACAGCCACCACCACTGCCACTACTGCCACAGCCACCGCCACCACCACTGACATCGCCACTGCTACCTCTACTGCCACTACTGATACCTCCACCACCACCACAGCCAGCGTCACCACTACTGCCACTACTGCCACCAGAACCACCGTTGATGCCACCACCACTATCACTAGCTCGGGGACCACCACAGATGCCACTGCCACCCTAGCCAAATACTTACTGGTTTAATGGCGTTGTGGGGTGCTGAATCGTCACCTCTGATCCCTCTGGGTGAAAAAGATGTATCTTAGTGGATTTTGTGTTTTTTTAACACAATGAACCGTGATTAGACAGATCGCTAAACTGCCAACATATCCGGGAAAATCTCATTCATTCATACTAATGCAGGGGTTATCTTTTGTGAAAAGTAGAAAGATGGTCCTCTTGTGAATGCAGTAAAACCTTGGATTGCGAATAACTTGGTCTGCGAGTGTTTTGCAAGATGAGCAAATTTTTTAAGTAAATATTAATTTGATAGACGAGCGAGGTCTTGCAATACGAGTAGTACGTATACGCTTTGTCTGCCGAGCGTCACATGATCACAACTGATATACGAGTGCTTTGATATGCGAGTGCTTTGGGTTACAAACGCGTTTCCGGAACGAATTATGCTCGCAATCCAAGGTTTTACTGTAATTGAAAGTTAATTGTGTATATTTGCAAAATCCAATTGCATGCAGGCGTATGAACACATCAAGGCCGAGACAGATAATTCATCTCTCTATGCTGACAATGTGTTTTATATTCATTACCACAAGCAATACTGTCTAATTTGTAAAGGGGCACTCGACAAGCAGGTTATATGCAACATTTTATATGTATTTTTCTGTAGAGATAACATAGAATAGTTAAAAGATATATAAAATAGTACGGATGAAACAACACATGATACATGCATCCACATATATTGATGACAGCATACTATTAAAGACCCAAGACTGGAGGACATTTTCACAATTTTGGCAGCTGCCTGATGGTTGTAACAGCAAAACGTCCGTATCCAAATGTTGTGTGTGTGGATCGCTATCCAACACACCAATGTGCTGAGGCTGTAATATATTGACATGGTTGTTGTCATGACAACTTCATTAATTTTCTGTATTGGGTGGATGAAGCTGTACGATACACATTTAACTTGCACGATCTGACCCAAAACTGTATTGTGAATCATAATATAAAAAAATGTGTTGACAATTTAGATTAATTTTACACAACATGCTGATTTTACATTTAGGTCCATGGCACCAATACAACTGTGCAAACCCATTCCCACGGGCCACCAATTCCAGTGTACCTGCGACCTGGATAATGTTTAAAGAGTAATTCAGCCTTTGCACATCGAGCGCGATCGGAACTCTCGCTTGAACTGCCGTTGCTTCCGGTGCTGCGCAGAGCTGGTGATGGTCCTGGAGCACTGGTCTGGCACGGAGTGCACGCTGTTTGCCGAACCGGGCACTGTGGACCAGTTCGGCAAGGAGCACGCCATCGTGGTGCTCAACCACAACTACGAGGTCGACTTCCTGTGCGGATGGACCATGTGCGAGCGATACGGCGTGCTGGGGGTACGTGGCACCGGAACTGTGGCAGAAGTGCCACGGAGCAATCGGGATAGCAAAGTGTGTAATGCCACGGTGGCAAGACGTTAACTACCTTTCCAGTATACAGGTCGTGGATTCGATCTCAACCCTGACCCCTGTTGTATATTTGGAGTTTGTATGTCTCTCTCCCCGTGGTCGCGTGGTTTTTCTCCGTGTCCTCTGGTTTTTCCCTCCGCATTTATAATTGACATGCATTTAGAGTATTTGGATGCTATACATTTCCACTTGTTGAGCTATCATTTGTGACCAGGTATCTTCTGAAAAATAGCTATATAGCTCAGTGGGCCTTATGTGATAAAATACAAATAGTAGTTAATAGTTAATATTGATGATTGCTAGAGCTAGGCTAACCGATTGTTTAAGTAATTGATTACTCTTCCGATTATAAGTTTGAATACTGGATTAATCCTTATGGGGTAAAAAGTTTAATTTATCCTGACACTGATTTATTGTAAATTCAAGGAACAAAGGAGAGTGACTCGTGAGATGCTTACTTGGACCCACTGGCTTACTGAATGTCCATATGGGCGGACATATGGACATTCAATGGTGTACTCATTAGCATGCAACTCAGTGACCCGAGTTTGATTGTCAACCATGGTTAGCATCAGTCATGAGTAATATTGGGACCCGTTATGACCAATGTGGTGGGGTGTGCTCTCACAATCCAGGTGATTGAGGGGCTTGGGGAGACTCATCCAACAGTGGATTGATGAAGAGCTTTACATTATAATCATGAATCCTGTTTCTTGATGCAGAGTAATTTGCTAAAATACTTTTTTTCTGGTTCCTTGATGTAGTGCATGATGATGCCCCTGCAATAGGAATGTGGATATTCCACCACTTGCTCAGGGCTATTGATGCTTTGAATACCTCTCGGAGCTTTATTGAACAGTAAGACCCCTTTTGATTATTATTAGCTCGTATAGATAAGTGTCTGTATAATACAGTGGCACTTGCTCTATAATTTTTTTAGTCGAGATTTAGCCGAAATCATTGCGTTCATTCTTTTTGTAGTAAATGGGTATCATATTCTGTATTATTTTAAGTATTTTGTGACTTCCCCTAATCCCGTCATCTTTTCTTTAATTTTCTCTGTTCATCCGCTATTATCTCTGAATTGCCTTCTGTCTGGGACAATCTGGATTTAGGAGAATACCCGTTATTGACCAGCACTCCGCGAGAAAGCCTGATCTGCTGAATTGTGAGCTTTAAAAACAACCAATGCCACTACAGTGTCCCCATAGGTTGGTCACTGGGAGCCGAGATTCATAGGGGGCGTGAGTCAGAAAACACAGCATGGTCGTAAAAAAAATCGTCTATTTGTCCTCTTTGTTTTTTGCATTTGTGTTTCCATTCTTCTTTTTCTTTGTGTTCTCACAGCTTTTCACTTCTCTCGTGCATCTGTCGTTCTCACTCTTTATTTGTCAATTCCTTTTGTGTGCTTCCCTCTACGATCTATCTCTGTCCTTTCAACTAACACATGCAATGTTAACAAAATATATATAAAACAATAAAAAATTCTCACGACGTTTCGACCATAACTCAAACGGTCATCATCAGGTGTGTCGACCATAACTCAAACGGTCATCATCAGGTGTGTCGGTTTGCATAAATTATGCAAACCGACACACCTGATGATGACCGTTTGAGTTATGGTCGAAACGTCGTGAGAATTTTTTATTGTTTTATATATATTTTGTTATTTTGTTGTTTCTCTTCAACGTGACTTTACCGAAAAAACTAAGAATATGAATTACTGCATTCACGAAAGCTTTAAATCAAAATTTACATGCAATGTTTTTAACATACAGTGCCCAAGACCTCAGTATTACTGTGAGATGGAGTATGACCTGATTTATTGAATGCATCCTCTTGAGATTTATCTTGAGTGCTCCATTCTACTGTGATCAATAGGGAAATCGACTAATTGACAGATCAGTCTTTTGTTCACGCCCAACATGGGCACTCGGGCTTTTTCGTTTTGTTAATGTAATTTAACCAGCTAGGTGGCTGAGCAGTATAGCAAGTGGCTCACAATCAGAAAGTTCCAATCCTGGTTGAGGATTGACTTCAACCCATCATCCCTCTGGGGTCATTAAAATACGTACCACTTTGTGGGGAACTCAGAGTCAGATTTATTTATTTATACTGGAGGAATCCGATGAGCTATAAAGCTATTTAACAGATTTCCAGTAGGGGTGAGTAAGAACGTTACAACATAAAACAGTACAAAAGCACGATAGTAATGCAAAGTACAAGAAAGGTAAAGAAATAACCCATACACATAAAACTAAACCATCCCCATTCTACCAAGAAAAGCCCATTGTGGTATTAACTTATTTTTCAGAAGCGACCTGGCCACAAATGATAGCTCAACAAAGTGGCCCATCATTTGGACATTTATAGCAGCAAATAATAAAAAAATAATCTCAATGCATGGTTCTAAATGTAGAGGGAAAATCGTTGGTAGCCCTATGGTTAGACTCACCACTGTCATAGGAATGTGGCATTTCTACGACTGGCTCAGGGCTGTAAACAATAGATGAGCACTGCCTCAATGCTAATTTGAGTACATTCATTGCCATCTCATCTTATTAAAATGCATATATCCCTAGCCCTTGGTTACAAGAAAATTTCTTCCACTGCCTTTGATAATTATTTAACTGTGGAAATGTCAGGAGGTTCATTCGAGCTGGTCTGGTGAATATGGGTTTTCTCCAGATATCTAGATTTTAACTGACTCATCGTCCTATCTCTCTTTACCTTTAAACTGTATCCATTCAGTTCACACACAAACAATATTATGGAAAACAATGGTTAAACTATCACAGCTATTGTATGTCAAGATGGCATTGCGTAACTCTCGAACTATAATGCAAGTCTAGAGGTAGCACCACTACCTCTATATCAGACCACATAGTTTTTGGTCATACTATCATGAAGATTGTCGGAAAGTGTACCTTGCACTGAGCTTGGAATTAACAATGGTCATGACATCCTCCATTGACTCACCCCTGCTGAATATTTCCCTCTCATCTTGCTCTACTGCCCTTCACGTGCTCTCCTCACAAGAAGCCAAAGTTTTTGGTCAAAACCTCTCTAGTCACCTTCCACTCAATTGAGATTACTCATTCTCCGCAATTGCCCCTGTGGTCTAGAATTGTCTCCCTAAAGTATCTTACACTGCTATTTGACTCGCATTGTTCAATTTCAGGCTCAGGACCATCCTCTTCTCCACTCGTATGAATAACTATCTCTCCTTTATGAAATACTTTCATTTGCACTCTACCACAGCGTTGTCTCTACCACAGCATCTTCTAAAATTTTCAGCTGGTCCCCATGATGTTCATGGACAGCATCTTACGTTTCAGATGCAGTCAGACGTAAAAATAGTTTTGTGTTGAATGCCCTGGCCCAGGCCTCCAAAGTGCTGGCAAAGCGGGAACTGCTGAAGGTGCCCCTCATCGGTTGGACGTGGTATTTCCTTGAGATCGTGTTTTGCAAGCGGCGCTGGGAGGAGGACCGCCAGGCCGTTCTTCAGGGCCTCCACAGGATCCGAGACTACCCCGAATACGTCTGGGTACGTTCCCAGGACCGACGTTCCCATGCCCGGCGGCTTGCCTTTGTCTGTAGGCTGGCACCATGTGTTTTACTGTAGGTAAGGGTGCCCTGGTGGTTCACGTATGGTGACTTGAGTTCCGTTCGTGGTCAGGGTACGTAACAAACATCAAAGGTTCTAGATTTGAAGCTTTCGTGACTGCAAGAATTCATACTCTTTGTTTTTTTTCGGTAAAGTCACGTAGGTAAAATAAAATAAATTAAAAGAAAACAATTAAATCACGACGTTTCGGAGGCAACACAAGCTTCCGTCTTCAGGTGGAACAGTCACAGCAAGATCGCTGCATCAAGTGGGGAGGCTTTGAGAGCCTCGAGCTTAAATACAGGTTAAGGGGGGGGGGGAGGAGCAAAGTAGTGCACATTGATGTTGTGTGGAGCTAAGTTAATCCGTCTTTTGTTATGTTGAGGGTGCGGGGGATGCAGTGGGTCACTGCACGGAGGCAATGGAAAAATGGAAACAAAAATGGAAAAGTTCGGAAAGAATATGCTGTGTGTTTATAAGGTAGCTAAAGTTTTGACTTGGTTTATGACATCTTTCCAGTGATTGATTAATTTAAAACCATCCTCTCGGTTGAAGTTGTGTCTATGTTTGTATATCTGGATGGCTTCATGGACAAATCTTTGGTAATAACCGGGAGGTTTGCATAGTACTTTGGTATCGGAGAAAACAATCTCATGAGAACCCGCTGTGTTGAGACAATGATCGGCTACGGCCGACGAATTCGTTCTGCCGTGTTTCAAATCTGATTTGTGCTCGCGAATTCGGTCAGAAATATGTCGTTTTGTCTCCCCGATATAGCAGTCACCGCAGATACATCTCAATTTGTAAACACCGGGGTACTTTAAGTCAGGGATGACATTCTTTACGGATGGGATCAGATCACGAATTTTGTGTACTGTATTGAATCGAACCTGGATCTTGTGTTTGTTTAGAGAAAAAAAGATTTCCAAAATTCTATAAACATAGAAATGGGGTGCAATTGGGGTGGGACGGACAACTTTAGTCTGTACTCAAATTCTACAATTGATGGAAACGGAGTTTAAATAATGAGTGGTGGCATCTGCACCTGTGTCTACACGCACGCACGCGTGTGTGTGTGTGTGTCCGTCTGTCCATCCGTCGGTCCGTCTGTCCCGGCGGCAGTTCCTGTTGTACTGCGAGGGCACACGCTTCACGGAGAAGAAGCACCGTATCAGCATGGAGGTGGCCAAGGCGAAGGGGCTGCCCAAGCTCAAGCACCACCTCCTGCCACGCACCAAGGGCTTCACGACTACCGTGCACTGCCTGCGTGGCATGGGTGAGAGAGATGGCGCTGGCTTGCGCAGAGCACGCGTCGCGTCGTGTGGCCGCGTGACGACACGGAGAGGTGTCTCTACCGCTGTGTGCGCTGATGGACACGGTCCACGCGCCGCAGAAATGCAGCGACGGGCGATAACACGTGCTGCGCTGTTCGTCACACGATGAACCGAAATGCAACAGATGTGCGACGCTGTTCGACAGAATGCTTAAATCATACTTGCTACATTGGCCAACTTAGGACAGCACTGAAATGATACTCGCTGCGGCGGTCAGTGGATCTTGATACAGAAATACATTGCACGTGCTCCACTACACTACTCAACACAAAGCGATATCGTAATACATTACACATGGCGCACCGCTTGACACAGGATTATTTCAATACATGCATAATATACTAGGGCATGCGGAGGTTGTTAGGAATTTCATGGAAGGCTAGGGTAAGCACCTTGGAAGTTTCTAAGAGAATGTGGCAGGAAAGTGTAGCAGCAGTCGTCAGGAAGAGGAACGTTTGTGAGGTGGCCATGTAGCACAGAGGTCAGAGCATTGAGCCAGCACTGTTGAGATCCTGGGTTTGAGTTCTGAAGTTTAGTGAGTTAGTGGTGTCAGTGTGGTTACCAATGATAGCATACAAAGTCAATAATAATTTTTCTGTTTGCTTAGTTTTACTTATTCCACCTGAAAATAAAGTCAAAACATAATTTGAGTGGAATGAGAACTCTCTCTGTATGGCATATGTGTACTGCTAGTGTGAATGAAGAGGCTGTTGAAGGGACTTAAGAAAGTATTCCACGTGACATGATATGCTAAGGCCACGGGATGATATACTACTAGATGCAAAAGTTTGAATGGAAATTAAAATGTTTTATGACCTGATGCCAATAGGAAATTTGAATATAGTTGGAACATTTTTTTAAAGAAAATAATTGTAAACAAAAATGAAGCAGGAAGATGGTATTTTAATGGATGGGATACATTTAGAATGACATTGAACAAGTTACCAGGACAGTCATTGGAGTAGCAACCAAGGTGAAGACCTAAATTCGGATGGTGGGATACAAAGCGAGCTGACTTTGTAGGTCAGGTGTTAACTTGGCAATGGCTCCAGAATGTAGCAATTGGACCAAGACTGCTCACTGTGTCACACTTCACAGAGACAGCTGCACCACTTGGCTAAAAGTCGGTTGTCGTTGTTGCGTCCAGAGACTGGTTGTTGCCATAGTAATGTGAAATTTCAACTGCCGGCCCAGGATCACCAACAGAGACAGAGCACCAAGTGCTCTATAAATCAAGGGGAAACTATTATTTAATAGTTGTCATTATACGAGCAACCACTCTGCACACTGGGTCATTTGCGCACTACCCAACTCCGTACAAAGTTACAGGCCACTGAACCTCTGGGTGCCATCCAAATTGCTGAGCCCCAGCTATAATTGGTATCGGTATCGGTGAAGAGTGTGATTGTAATTGTGTTGAAGGAGTTTATTTTCCACCACACTTGACCGCAAATAGCATGAACTTGGAAAAAAACTGTGAAGGCGAGATCGCACGACGTTATTTTAGACTTACACTTTGTCCGTGAGCCAGCAGACTGCCACCGGAGCCCCTCTGGGGCTGGAGTATTTAAAACTAAATTTTCCGCTGTGCCCAGTACGTCCATCAACGAGGCATTCGGTGCCCAATTACTGTTAGTGGGTGGGCTGGCAAGCACCCAGGAAAGAAAGAATGAGCCTCCGTCCTCACTTGAACCATAGCCAAGGGCTGTTATGCAGAACGTGAAGGTGTACATGAACGTGTAACAGTAATGACAATCCGGTATTTACCCAGGCAAGCCTCACCAAGTCTTAAGGACATTTTCCAGATGGGCCCTGCTGCCAGTGTTCGAAAAAATCGTTTCAACTTTGTTGAGTGTGGGATCAAGCTGCAATATACCGTAAAATCTCTGGAAGCCAGACTCGAGTAAGCAGGAATTCGGGGGGAAAGCCCAAAATGAAGGAACCACAACTCCCACTGGAATACTGTACTCGGGCTCATTCAGCAGCATGTGGTTGGAGATTGCATGTGTATGTGAACTAGCCATTCTAAAGCTATGTTTATACTTCTCTGTTTTTAGAATCTGTACACTTGGATGCCACGTGCTCTATTAGTTCTCTCTGGGTTGTTTTGTTCACCTTTACTTTGGTTTGCATTCGAGTTACAAATAACCTAAATATAAGCTTCAAGACTGTCATGAAAAAAACACTTTCAGCCTTCCACATCCAGTTAATCCCAGCCATCCTCTGATTTTTTTTGTACTTTTGTAAATACTTATATCGTGAACATTTAGTTAAATGTTATAAGTGTTGATTAAATGTGGAAGTTGTTAATTACGTGTACACGCAATTTAACTTGTTTAGCAATTATGTAGAATTTAATTATTTGTGCTATTCCAGATATCCCCCATAACCAGAAAGGCTGTTTCTCTATTAATCCGGCTACAAGAGATTTTACTGTACCAAAGAATACTCACGCATATGCAGTGACAGCACTCAGACTCTGCATAGAATAACTTGTTAGAAACCTACTTGCTCTGCTGCCTTTTCCAGGCCTCCTTGCTTCCACTGCAGGTGGATGTCATGACAATAGCAAAAACCCTAGAATCCATAAATGCTGGATCACAACCATGAACCAATTTGGCTGTCCCAAATGCTGAGGCAGCCAGAAAGTCTAGCCTACTTGTAATACGTTTTGACTGCATTGGATGTTGCTAGCAGCAGCAGCACCTCTTAAATTGCGTTGAACGTAAGAAGTATTAGATTATAGTAGAGTCACTGAGACTGCCCTCGGCTTAGCTATCTTAAACAAGAGGCATGCTATCCTGTACTGTGACTATATATAGTATAATATTAAATCTATATAAAGTAGACTGGCTTGCAACAAAATACAGGATCACTTTAAGCTTTGTTATGTTATACACTGTGTTTACTTTGATTAGAAGAAAAACAATTGTCTTGTGAAATGCTTTGATTAGTTAAAACCAAATCACTCAAACTTGATTTGAGGCTTTCGTGACTGCAGGAATTACTCTTTGGTTTTTTCGGTAAGGTCACATAGAAAGAAAATAAATTAAATAATAGAATAGACGTTTCGATTGCAACACAAGCAATCGTCATCAGGGAGAGAGGGACCCAGAGGGACCCAGCAGGACCTGGTGAATTTTGGAGGGAGTTGTGTGGGAATCCACCCCAATGTCTATGTTGTGTCTCTCTCTGTGTGTCTCTGTGTCTGTGTTTTGTCTCTCTCTCAAATTTAGTTCTACCTGATGACCATTGCTTGTGTTGCAATCGAAACGTGGTATTCTATTATTTAATTTATTTTCTTTCTACATGACTTTACCGAAAGAACCAGAGCAAATCACTCAGCTTTGTGTAAACAGTGGCAAATTGTGTTATGATGCCGTAAATAGCAAAGATGTGAGTATGTTCACCACTCATCCAGTTTGCAGTTGACAGCTCATTTTCTACTACAGTTGTTACCCAGTAATTTATTATTTTAAGTTACCGACGCGCGTCGTGTATTATAGAGTGAACTCTTTCAAATTATGATTCTGAAAAGTAAGGTTTGGTGCGCTGTTATCACAGTAGTGGTGGTGGCTTCGCACATGGCCTGTAATCTAGCACTGTGTAGGCAGCGAGGATTGGTGGATCGCACAAATGTTGTGAAACTCCCCGTGGTCGTTGAGGTGCAATTTACCCATTAATACAATGCATAGTTTCACTAAACACACCTCTAGTTTCATTTTAATCAACTAAAATTACAACCGTGAACTGGGAATTGAACCTGGAGCCTCCAGATGACAGTTTTTACCCAGCGTGCTAGCCTGTACTGTGCAACATCTTGTAATACATCGAGGTTCCCTACTTATATTTGTTGTTCAGGTATATCTTCGCGGTTGTGTATATAATGACAATGTGAATAAAAGGCACAAACTATGAACGTCACATAAAATAGAATCATAGGAAAAGAAAAAACTGTTTAGCGACCCCAGAAATCGTAGGCCTTTGTTAGTCTCCATGAAACAGTGTGGCAGATGAAGGGCTTGTGAAGATCTTTCAAAGGGTTTTATGCAGAGCCACTTTCACAACAGATCAATGGGGAAATATATTTCACCACAAGGTCACGCCCTTTTGGGCCATGCCCTTTATCCCAGTGCGCTCGCCACGGCGAGGATGTTTCAAAGTGGCTTGTGGCTCCCTTTATATCCATTAGAGAAAGCGTCGTGCGGAGAGACGTTTTGGCAAAGGAGCCAGGGATCTCAGCTCGGTGCCTGCAAGGGGCCGCTAACAGGCCCGTGATTTACACATAAAAATGAGCAACGACACAACGTCTGTCCCTGTGTAGTGGGTTCTATTGAAACGCACTCTCGAGTATGGAGGCAATACGTTTTATTCACTAATATAACAGGTAAGTCTCCACTCAACGGGATAACGACTAAGGGGTGGTGACCACCACAGATAGTTACATAACCACATGGGAACACTATATAATCGACTGGGTCAGCTAACACGCTGCCTGGCTCTCGACGGCTTGTCCGAAGACCGAGGATCGAAGACCTGGCTGGCGGATTCCATTCCTTATGACAGCAACGATGATGACGGCGACCCTGCCTGCTCCTCCGCACCGGCTTTTATCCGCCACAGCGTGGCCAGGTTCTGCCCCTGGCCACGCCCCCTTCCAGATTGTTCTCGAGGGTCCTGGTTCCCCATCACATGTCGCTCTCTCCCCCTTTTAGGGGGGGTAGGCCCTTCCACCTTGTCCGTTCACGTTTCCTCCCGGGTTCACCCACAGGCCATGTCCTCACGCGCCCTGTCTCTCTCCGTTACCAGGGCTATGTCACTACACCTGTGGCAGTTGTGGTCATAGAACTGAACCAACACCGCAGGGGTCCAGTGTACGCGGATTAATCCCAGCCCCCAGTGACATAACGAAAATTCTGTTTATTCACTTAATTCGGTCCAA